AACATCTACAAACGCTGAAAATCATGCATTACAACAGGAAAAGGAAGAAGATAAACCACTTACTTGAATCAAAAAGCAGGATTCGGCTACGGAGTAAAAGAATCTGGAACAGAAGATCGCGGCTGGGAAAAATCTGGAAGAACAGCAGCAGTGGGAGCACAACGAGTAGAAACGTGTTATGGGGCCCAAGATTCCTATTTATAGTGATGACGTGGAATACCAAACGTCACCTCGGGCAACCACGGAGTTCCTCTCCCCGACGCGCTGCTCCCAACGCAATGATGACCCTACCATTATAGGGTGGCGGCACAGTTCCCGAAAGGTACCTCGTGTGCTCGACAGACACGCGCCGGTTATGATCCTCCGGGCATCCATCGCGGAAGATGTCTCCGAGCACGGCACGGGGAGGTCCTCGAGGGCCTGCATCTCTATCCCGGGAACGAGACCCCGAAGCGGAAACGACCTGAGTTCAAGCCATGGCTCCTAACAAAGGAACCACGACTTGGGGGGCTCCTGTTCTGGACTGGGCCCGACAGGCCCAAAAGCATTGCTAAGGCCCAATCCAAATAGACTTGCTGAAGACCACGCCGACCAAAGGGTCACAGTCGTGCCCGACGTGCTCCCTGAGGTCACGTGCTCGACCTCTACACCTCTAGCCCGACATCACCTCGAGCACCTCAACTAGGGCAGACTCGGTCCACTGCACTCCCAACAAGGCCCTGAAAAGATTGCGTCTCCATCCGCCCGCACTTCACGCAGAACATCCAGGAAGGGGACCACTTGCGGGTCCCCACTACGCACGTAGAACTTGGCAGTTCCTCCATTGGGCCAAACCTGCCCGGCCCAATGAAGGAACCTTGGCCCAGCGCTGGGGGCTATAAATACCCTCTGTTTCCAGAGGGTGAGGTATTCATCATTCTAACCATACACTTGCTATTACCTGCTCGTACTTTTACTTACTTCAGCATCGGAGTGCCTTGCAGGTACCCCCCCCCACTTCGTTCAAAAAGCTTCTTGCTTGGAGCCAGCCGTGACGGTCCATTTCTGATCAGGTCAGATCAATAGGCAAGAGGTTTTAAGACAAAGGTTGATCAGTTTTTCAAGATCACATGTTGTGTCTAGGTTGGATTGTAAATGAAGCAAGCTTGAAGATCATAGTTCCAATGCCTTATACTATGCTCCATAGAGTTGTTGGATAATTTAAGCATGATTGTATGATGTTGTATGTTGAGTGTGTGTAGAAGGAACAAGTTAGAGGCCCAAGAAGAGTTGACTTTGTGATTAAAGCTACTTTGCAATAATGGCAATGTTAACTTTGTGTCAAAAATGAAAAGATCACTTGGACAATGCTTAAATCAAATGGACCATAACTCAAAAGTTTGTGTAAACATTATATTATGGTGCGATTTGCAAGTTAGAAGGCCTGCAAAAAAGATTATGCAGTATAGCATGTAGATTAGATTATGTGTTCTTCACGAAAATGACTTGTAATTCAAGAATGGATGCCCAACTTCATGCCTTTGGATCTCCTAGCTCAAGCATGATAAATTCATGCTCTTGGATGTTTTGGAAAGCTTGAAATATTGTCTACAACTCTCATGTTGACCAGTTTGGCTAAAGCAAATTGGAACTTGATTAAAATTGGCCAAGAAGTTGGGATAAAAACCTGACCAAACCTGTTGAAAATTTCTTTAAGTGTTTATACAAAAAATGTCATGACTTCATGAGCCTACAATTCAAAATCCAAGCATTTTTAGGACTTGATCAGCAAAGAAAAGTTGTAGATTTCATCAAGATCTACAACTTTCATGTTGAAAGTTTTCTTTGAATCATCTTGCATCTTGGTGAAAAATTGTAATGAAGTAGTGAAATTATTAAGGTTAAAACACTTAGTAATTTTGAGTATTGAAAAGTTTGATTTTTTGTGGACTTTTGACTTTCTTGATTCTTGATCATCAATCTTCATATTTTTGAATGTATTGATGAATCTTGATCTTTGAAACTCAATTTTGATAAAAAAGTCAAAGTTTAACTTTTTGTGTAACAGTTGACTTTTTCATCAGTTGATCAAATTTCAACTATCAATTGTTTGATCTTGAGAAATGACTTGAGTCATGCAATTAGGTCAAAATAATACGCTTGAATCCTTGAGATCATACCTCAAAACATTAAGTCATGTGTTAGGTCAAAAGTCAAATGACTGGTCATTCCCAATCAAAAACCCTAATTTTGACCATTTTGCCCTTTTGATGATTTGAACACTTTTCTTGAGGAGTTGTGATCAAACCTTGATCAATTGATAAATATGACTTCAAAATATTGATATGGGTCAAAAATCTTGAAGTTTGACTGTAGGTTGACCACATTTGACTTTTTACCCAACACAACTGATTTTCAGTCATCTGGTCAATTGACTGAGCAACCTTGAGGTATAAGACTTGAAATTTGGCATGAGTAATCTTGGAGGTCTTATAATGAATCGTGAACGTTATTTGGGGAATTAGAAGTCCAATTTTCCTTGTGAAAATCAAAACCCTAATTTGGGGTCTCAGTGCTTAGGAGGTGGTTTGACCTAGTCAACACTTGTGCAAACTTGAGCTATTAAAGATCCTTGTGAGAAATGTATTGAGAAAAGAGAGGGAAAATTTTAGGGTACAATAGTGGCCTTATTGGAAAATATAGTGGGCTTATGCCTTGTGGTTGCATAGTTATGGTGTTGCATGTTGATGATGTATGCATTCATTGGTGAGGGCTTATGCCCTGTTGTTGGCCTGTAATGGCGTTATGTTGAGGGCTTATGCCCTGTTGCTGCCCTATTTAGAATTATGTTGAGGGCCCATGTCCTGTTGGTAACACATGCATTTAGTTGTTGTCGGTTGTATTGCACTATCTTGATTTGATGTTGTGTTATATGAGTGAAGAATGTGTTGCAAAGTATTATGTGAAATGTGCATCTTCTTGTTCCAAGGAAAGCATCCTCAGTTAGATGAGGATCCCATCTCGATAAAGGCATTGTCCAAGCTTCCTTGATCTGTTAAAATAAAAATTGTATTTAATATCTACTGATCCACCCATGACGACTAGTCTTCATTTATGAACTTTAGGTTAGTCTAGTGGCTACCTAGGTCTGTTTCTACTTCACTATCAACAGACAAAAAAGAACGTATGTGAGATCGAATACAATATAGAAAACACGAAAATCCTTAAGATCTCACTAGAAAGAGAAGTAAAAGGAGATCATATCCCCCTCTTTTGGCATTTACGTATTGACATTCAGAGATCCCACGACTGGCGAACGATGATCGTGGAAGAATTACTACACCATTAACAATCCCGATTTGGCTTCGATCCCCCACGACACCCGAATACTCTAAAAATATCACACATGCTTGAATTATATGGCCATGTTGAGGGAGTAATTTAATGCGGGTATTCCTAAGGCTAACTACTCCACTCTTCACATCTCCGACCATAAAGTGAAGACCTGTTCGGCAGCTGTCAGATGACTCATGAGGACGATCAAAATAGTCGGACTACATATGCTTCACAATCATAATTTCACGAATGAAAGCAAGGACTTGAGGGCCAATTGTTTCAAGCAAATCAAACGTCTTAATAAGGTTGACCTAATTCAAGCGGCCCAATCAAAAAACTAGACGAAATAAGAACATGCAGACTCGTCATAAGACCGCCCAAAGAATTCAACCTACTTGATCATTACTAACCGTCAGATCTAATCAGATAACCTTCTACACCTCACATTTGATCGAACAATAATTATTGTAACCGTTCGTTTAATATAAACTTCACCATACGTCATACACATATTTGTTTATTCACTCTTAAAAAAGTTATATCTCTCTAAAAATCACTAATTTAAATGTTAAGATATTAACTTTACAAATATATCTCTATTTCATCACATCATAGGCTCGTACCACAGAATAGGATAAACTCCTTAGTCCTTTCTGTTTTGTTCGACACCCTAATACTACTGATAACTTAGATAAGGTAAAGCATCGTTGAAGTGACAAAATATAATGATATAGTATAAATTATATTGTTATATTTTTAATATATTATTAAAGAATCGATACAGTGAACACAAATTTAGATAAAATCAACTGACGTAAGGTGTGAGGCTGTGAGCAGCTCCTCGGTGATCTTACATCCAACCATAACTCAAACGTTGAATAAAGAGTGAAAAGGAGTTCAAAATTAAAGGGAATCTCGATGGCCTTATCCATTTTCAAACTTGCCTACCATGCTAGATAGAAAGTAGAAACTGACCCTACACGCAGAGCACTCTAAAAAGTGAAATAATTTTAGCACTAATATACTTCACTTATACTCCATAGACACGGTATACACTACAATTATAAAATTGATTATATTCTATTTTAAAAATATATATTATAGAGATTCGCTACCTCTAATAAGAATCTAAAAATATCAAATACACATATTATAAAAACACTTTGATTCTCCAAAACATTTTTTCATGTTGTGCCTTTTTTTTTCATAATTCAATTTAGATCAAAAATATGTATCATACTCATGATTATATGTCCATACATAACCTAAATAAGACATCCAACTACCTTGGAATGATTCCGTCTAAAAAATTATCATTGTAATGATATATACATCCATTGCTTTTATATTTCCCAAAAAAAAATAAAAACCCACAAATATGAAAAGAATATAAACCTATCATGTCCACTTGTTTTTCTTCTTTTCAAAATGGGCCAATGCAATAAAGAATAATTAAAGTTTAGCCTAGCTTTACCCCACACCTAGTATATGTTTTATAAATACAAGTAACCTCGTCAAAATTCAATCAATTCACAATGCAAATTCAACAAATTAGTAATTGATTTTTGATTTGGTCAACCTCTTAATTAGTTATTACTACCTCTCTTATAAGTACAATTCAAAAACCCAAAGAGACACAACAAAAACAACAACAACAACCACGAAAGACATTGGAATCTATAATCATGGGAAACACCTTAGGAAAAAGCAAAAAAGCAAAGATTATGAAGATAGATGGAGAAACCTTCAAAGTGAAAACTCCAACCACATCAAACGACGTCGTCAAAGACTATCCCAACCACGTCCTCCTCGATTCTCAAGCGGTAAAACACTTCGGGCTTCGGGCCAAACCCTTAGAGCCCAACCAAGAACTCAAGCCCAAAAAAATCTACTTCCTCGTAGAATTACCCAAAATAAAGCCCGAGGAAGATAAACCGGCACTACCGAGGAGAGCCCGATCTAGTGGAATAAAGAACATGAATGCTAAGGATAGACTCGAGTTGTTAATGCTATCAAAACGCTCCGTTTCGGATATTTCGTCGGTGAAACCGGGCTTGGGCTTAGACGGGCCCATGAGGTTGAAGATGAGGCTTCCGAAAGCCCAGTTGGAGAAGTTGATGGAAGAGAGTAATGATAAGGCTGAAGTGGCGGAGAAGATTATGAGTTTGTATATGGAAAAAACGAGTGGCGGCGGCGGCGGCGGTGGTGGTGATGGTGCGGTGGAGCATGACGGTGTCGTTTTGAGTCAAAATCGTAAACCACGTGGGGTATGTATTTATTTATATTTAATTATTTATAGTTTTTTGTTATTATTATTATTTTGGATTCAAATAATGTTAAACATGTAGTAAATGTCAAACGAATTTTGAAGGTTTCACATGCAAACAAACCACTAGAGGAAAACTTACAACTTTTTTTGGCATCATTACATGTGCATTTAATTGTTTTTTATCAATTGCATGTGCATTTAATAGATACAACTATAATTACTTTGTGTGGAAGTCTACAATTTATTTTAACGAAGACTTTGGCATATTCAAAGACCCAATTTAGGGAGAGGAAAATGGAAATAGAAATGAAAAGGAAATGACGTTTTAAATTTGTTATGATCTTTTATAGCAAAGTGTTCATTTATATAATCTAATATAATAATAATTTAAGTGTTCATTTGATCATACTATTTTATTAATTTAATATATTGATTATATTATATTTTAATATTTGTTTTTTAATATTGTGCAGAAACGAGTGAGTTTTAGCCCAATGGAATTTGAAGAAAGTCACATTGAAGCAGCTTCTCAATAGCAGTATTTTTTTAATTAGTACTTCATAATAGTTAGATATGTGCATTTGTACCGGTATACATATATGTATATATAAAATGCTGGACTGATCTAATACGAATATTAAAGTGAGGTTTTTTAAGTTATAATTTTATTATTTAAAAAATAATTATTATTATATTTATATTTTAAGAACCTTATCTTTTCAAGACTAAAAACACTTATTAAATTAATAAAATTGATCTTGTTTAATTTTCTTTTTCACTCAATAATAGATAATAATTTCATGTTAAAGATTTTCACATTCCCTATCCTAACTATTACACTCTCTTTTTAGTCATTCTTTCTCCTCTTACAATCCTGACAATTTCTTTAAGTAACAATATATATGTTAAACAAAAGAAAATAGTAGAAAGAGTAAGAGATACAAAACCAAAACCCCCTAGGAAAATAGAGAAGAAAAAAAATTAAATTAGATTAAAAAAAATATATGAGGGTTTATTTTAGATATGCACTTTCGAATTCATTTTCAATTTAAAAAAATATAACATAAAACTTATAAAATTTATTTCGGATATGCATTTCCGAATTAATCTTTATTTTAAAAAAAATACACCACACGGCTTATTTCGAATATGCAGTTCCGAATTCACCTCTTATTTTTATAAAACATCGTGGTGTTTTCGGATGTCTATATCCGAAAACCCCTATTTTTGGTAAAAATATGGATAATTCGGAAGTGCACTTACGAAATATGTCCTGATAAGATTTATTTGGTCCATATTGCTACAAAAAGTCTATAAATTGGGTCTTCCATTTCAATTTTTTATCAATCACATACCACAACCATAAATGACACAAACATATCCACACTTTGCTTTTGCCCACTTTAGTGGTGCGTAGTCGCCACTTCAATTCACGTTCTCGTAGGATACGTCGTTCGCCGAGCTCATTATCATACTGCATTCTCTCTTGTAATATCTAAAGAATCGAAAGGTGGTCAAGCTTGAGTATCGTTCACCTTCGATTGACACTGAAGGAAACATAAAGTTCACCCCGTTTAAGCTCAAGAACGATGATGATTTAGAGGTTATGTGAGGTATCTTTCAATAATACTCTTCTAAGGGTCCAATTGAGATGGATGCAAAGCTTCAAAGATCAGTCAAAGATGTTATCAGATCAGTCGAAGATGTTATCAAGATATTACGACGTCCTCAACTACCCATTTATGTAACTTTAATTTTCTGCATAACTATTTATGTAACTTGTTTGAATTATGTTGAATGAATGTTATGAATTATGTTGAATTTTTGTTCTATCCAGGGATACTTTCGGATATGCATTTCCGAAAATGTTTAACAGGTGACTTTGAATATGCATATCTGAAGTAAATTTAATAAGTCACGTTGGTGGTTCGTTCAGAGATGCACTTCCAAATTTTTGGGTTATTTTAGAAATTTCGTCATAGGTGCTGAAGAAGTGCACTAGGTATAGAAAGAAATTCTCTCAAAAAAATTAGTGACTTGAAGGGACCTCTACCTTGAATACTTTAGTTGTTTCATATTCCTTCCTTTTGTTCTTCCCTTTTTGTGGCACCACTAATTGAAATGATTAATTTGTGTTTTCATCCAAATCAACAATTTCATATTTTTTAGTTATATGTTAGTCTAAGATTCACTATGAAAATTTATAGCTTGTAGGGCCTCTATAGGAACAAATCTTAAAATTTACATGTTAAGAATAACAAAGGCACTGAAATTTGACAAGTTAGAGGTTGCCACCACAATAGAGTCAACTCTCAAAAGAAGTGAATATGCAATTACTTCTTCTTGATGACCCTTTTGAAAAAAGTGTCAACTAAATATGAATCTCCCTCGTAATTCTTGTCAATTTTACCTCGATTAGTGATTTTTATATAAGCTAAACCACAAAAATTCTCATTACATTGGGCACCTAAGTCTTCTTAATGCAAGGTATCAATACTCACAATCGCCCCATAATCAGTGATTTTCAAACAATCAGCAAATTTTAAAAAAGGATTATTATCAACACGTGTTTTAGTAGCATTTACACATTCAACTGATTCCTTTCTTAAATCCGCCTTTTAAATAGACACATACTTATTTCCCATGTGTTTATTACTCTCATTAGTTTTCCTTTTATCTTGATCCAATTTAACAAGTTTACAAGACGAAAAACTCTGAAGGTATAACATCACAAACATAAAATGTCACAAATTTTCATAAGCAATGTTAACAAGAAAATCATAGCCTTCTCTTTCAACCAATAATTTATGTCTGATTTTAGAACATAAATCAATATAAACTAAAACTCTTGTAAAATGTCCAAAAGATCTCTCTAGTGGACACTTACTTGTTGCAACATCCAAAGACATTGGCGTTCCGAGACAACTAGAAATTGCAAAGATAATATTAGGACCCCAATATTCCCGAGGAAATTCGAGAAAATGAACCCAACAATGAACTATTGTCTATTTGTGATTATTCAGATTAAAGTCGGGAGACCAAGCAAATTGTTTCTAGAAAACTAGGCTTTAGGCTTCAAGAAAGCACTGTATGAACACTTTGGACATTGTAACACCCAAAAATCTAGAATTTTTTATTTTATCGATTATTTGTGATTTATTATTGATATCATGTGATGTGTGATGATAAGTTGTGGGGTTAGTAGTAAGATATATGCACTAATTATTTATTTAAATTTAAATTATTTTAGTTTATATTATTTAAAATTATATTAATAATTAAAATAGGATACTAAGGTGAAAAGGAGAATAAGGGCATAATGGTAAGTGTATGAGTGTAAGTGAGGGTATGATGGATAAACCATATAAAAGGTCTATTTTAGTAGAGAAAATAAGAAAAATAGAATCATTTTGTACCGATCCTGAAAATTTGGAGAGAGAAGATGTTAGGGCACATAGAGAAGATAAGAGTAGATTCATCCTTTAGAGTTCGAAGAGATCAAAGCTACTAGGAATTCGAGGTAAGGGGGGTAATCAGGTTTATTATGATTGATATAAAGTTAAGGTAGATGTAGGTTTGTTGTATGTGTGGGTTTGATTGATGAATAACATGATGCATGTGTTAATTATGAGGTTTGATATGTCATTGATTTGATATTTGAAGGTTGTGACGTTAAGTGTATTAATGATGATTTAAAGATGATAAATTGATGATGTGATGTGTTTATTTTTCTTGATTCAAGTTCCATATGATATGATATGTTTTGGGATTGTTGGAGGTCAAAAGTTTGGGATTTGGGGCATGTTTAAAGGCCGAAAATCAAGAAACACCGCACAAAATCGCGTGAAAAAACTATTGTTTTATGGGCTCTATTATGGCCCGTAATAGCCCTCTAGATTTTTGTACCAGAAACATGCGAAAAATGAAATTCTGGATTGGGAGCATTACAGGTCTTAATGGCCATTACGGGTGGCCGTAATAGCTCCCTGGTTTTTGTACTAGAAATCGTTTTGGCCATAACTTTTGAATCGTAAGTCCAAATCGAGTATCGTTTTAAGCATTAGAAAGCTAACATACAGGGCTATAACATGAAAATAATTGGTGAAATGTTTGATTAATATTCAGGTGTATACTAAATAGATGTTTGTAATAGTTTGTATAACCCATAAGCTAATCATTTAGTTATAATAATGAAATATCGATGGTATAATGAAGTAACATGATTGAGTGTGTACAAATTATGCAAATGTAAATTATTGCTATTGATAGTAGTTGTTGATTATTGTGAATGATGAGTAATATTATATGTTTTTATGAAGTGTGATTATGTTATTATGTTGATGTCGTTACAACGATGTTGCTAAGATGTTAATGTTGATGATATTGCTATAGTGCCGATATTTATGATGATATTGTGATGATATTTTAATGATGTTATTGTGATGTTAATGATGACATGATGATGATGTTTTAATGAAGTGCATGTTCAAATGTATATAAATGTTATACAAAGATGATTTATATGAATGATAATGCAACTGACTAGTTGTGGTCAAACTTATATGCGACGTTGTTGTGCATAATAAATTCATAGCATTTTTTACGTTGGTCCGCTTGTGATGAGCCTCAATCCCATTGTGCGGATTGGGTCTGAGTAGCTATATTCCTTGGCCGGGGATTTAGTGAACCATTACTCAATGATGGCGGTAGAGATTTATGTTGTGCTCTGGTTCCAAGAGGGAATAAATTCTATGATGGGGATCATGAAGGGTGATGAATCATGTGTTCATAAAATTGGTACCACGTGCACTGGGTCGGTGTTGTTGCATTAACATCATATGTGACATTGCATTAATGTTATTGATGAGTTGTGATGTGATGATAGTTGTGGACTATGTGATTATATGATGGTTTTGTGATGAAAGATGTTTATGTGCTATTATGACTTGTAGGTGTGAGTATGACTTGTTTATAAATGATATGTGTTGATAGGATGATGATGTTTCTACTAATACTTTCCTTATATCTTTTATAATGAATTATGATTACTCACCTTTTATGTTTGAATGTTGCCTCCACGTGGATAACGCGCAGATACTCAGGAGTAGCTTGCTTCAGTAAGGATGATAGCTCTTGGAGTATTTATTAGATTTATGTTATTTAGAGGTGTCTTGCTATGATATATAACATCGGGTTGAGAACTCTTAGTTTGATTTTCTTTGTTATAACTATGTTAAAGTTTTTGTAAGATTTTTGGATTGTCGAACCCCGTTGTGGTTCAAATTCTTTATGTAACTAATGTCATGAGGTTTATGTTGTTTGAGGAAAATTGAAAGATGATTCAGCCGCGGTGTTTTAAATTAAATATTAAAGTTATATAGCTATTATGAAAGTGTGCGTTCATGAAGACTAACTGTAATGGTTGTAACCCGTGTTATAGAGCAGAATTGTATTTATGTTGTTTTATTATGACAATGTGACACTCTTGTGTGGTGGTTTTTCATTAAATTATTCGAGATTAATATATGGAGTTTAG